GCCATATCCGTGTCCCTGGCAGTGGGCAAGAGCTTCTCCGGGCCACCTCTGCCACCGTGGGATGAGCCAGGAAAAGCCAATGTTGTTCCCTGCAGCTGGGAGAGGGTCCAGCAGCCCTGCCCAGTTCAGCCCAGTCTGTGCTGGAGCACCGATGTGAGCTGGTGTCCCCGTCCCGCCTGTGACTCCCCAGCAGCCTCGTGCTCCCTGCTCTGCTTTGCTTTCCTGGACTCGGTTTTTGCGAGGTTTCGGCACAGTGAAGAGCGTTGGATCTTCACTGAGGGGGTTTGCAGTGGAGAAGCAGAGCTCTGGGGTGCAGCCGGGGATGCCCCGGGCATCGGGGACACTGCTCTGGGTGTCTAATGCCTGGGCTGGGACCTCGGTGCAGGGTGTCCCGAGCCTGGGGACAAAGTGCCAAAACTGAGCTTGCCCCGGTGCCGTCGGATGCTTCAGCAGTTCCCTGTGGCCCCCGCTTCCCAAAAGGCATCTCAGCCCTGGCTGGAGGTGGGGAGACAATGGGAAACTTGGTGGCAGCCACAGCTCAGGGGGTTCAGGTTGGACATGGGGACGCGCCCCTTCCCCTGGAGGGACGTGCAGCCCTGGGACAGGTCCCCAGGGAGGGACGTCTCCATCCTTGGGCGGGGTTCAGGGCTCGGTTAGCCAAGCCGTGGTATGGTGGTGGGGGAGGTTGGACCAGACACCTCCAAAGACCACTTCCACCACCACCTCGGCCGCGCTTGGCCCATGCCCTGGGGCCCAGCACAGCTGCAGGGGCTTCGTGGGTCATCAAGCGAGTGGACCTGCAGGGCCATCTCCAGCTTTAATTAGTCCCTTTTCCTAATGGATGTGACAGTGTCAGCAAACGAGGTCCTGCCCTGCTTGTGTAGCCAAAGGGAGAAGAAATCTCGGGGTGTTTTTAATTAACAGGGAGCTGGGGGTGGCTGATGCCCCTCGGCCGGGGGCACTGGCAGGATTCGAATCAATCTTGTTTCGGAGTCCATCCGGGCACCAGGGGGGCGTTTGCCTTGTGGAAATGGGTTAAAAAAGAAG